TCTAGTTTTAATCTTTGGCAGGTTGAAATCCAGTTTTTCCAACACCATTTATTAAATAGGCTATCTTTCCTCCAATGAGGGTGGTTGGCTCCTTTGTAATTTAAGCAAAAAAAAAAAAAAAAAGAAAGAAAAGAAAAGAAAAAGAAAAGCGCAAGGTCCTGAGTTCTATCCCCAGTACCAAAATAAATAAATAAATAAAAAATTTAAAAATAATGCAAATTGGGCAAAACAACTCTGAAACACTGCTGAAATCATTAGAAGCAAAACAAAGAGCAACATTAAAAAAAAATAGGGCTCATTGACCCACCATGTTGTGAAGTAGATACTGTCTTGTTCCAGTTTAATTCAGATACACCAATGATGTATGCATTTGGAATGAAATTAAACATGACATTCTAAATAATCTGACTGTATTTTGGGGTAAAGTCAGGACATAAACACATTCATGAAGCACAATTGGATAACAAAGTGCTAGAGAAGTATGGAATAATTTTTGGTAAAACAAGAAAAAAATGTATACAAAGCATTTTCCAAGCTTTTAAATACTTTACACAAAAATATATGTGATCATTGAAAATTATCTGTAAATAAAAACCTTTATTTAGACCTAATTTTCAAGATATACTCTATTATGAGGCATTAGTCTCAAATTAACATCCCTGATTTTTTTTTCATGAAAAACTCCTATGAGCATGCTGTGTGAAGAATATGCCATTTATTAGCATACAATTATTGTATAAGTCATTCTTTCTTGATCAATTTTTAGATGTTTTCTTTAAGAACAAGTACAGCTTACTATGGAAATCTACTTCAAAATTTTATATTTTTAAGTAATGAAACAAAATGTGATCACACCTGAATTTCTGAATCATTTTGAACATTTTTCCCCATACACTGATATTTACTCAAGTCTAATCATGAGTCATTGTATAATTATGGGCTATGAAAATCAAGTTCACACCTAGTTATATAAATTAAAAATTTCACATGTTAATAGAATAACATTTCCTGCTTCATCTAAATTTATCATTTATTTAATTCATCCATGAGTAGTTTATTTATGGATGATCGATTTTATGGCACAATAATTAAGAAAATTAAAGTGTATTCATTGTACTAGGCATAACTATAAAAATGCTCCTCCCCTGGCCCCAATCACAATATCATTCTTCTCTGGTTACTCAATCAAATGCCTACTGCTATGAAAGGAAGTCACAAATGTAGTAAAAATCTTAAATCAATCTCACCTTAAAATGCAGAGACCATCCAGGTGGAACTGACCAGATCAGGTGAGCACCGATTCAAAGCATGAGGGGGATTCAGAGTCCTCTTGCTGGTTTTGAAAAGGAGGCCAGAAAGTGACAAAAAAATGCATGTGTCATTTTTTTACCTGTAGGATTGTGAGCTAATAAATGAATAATTTGTTAGGCTGTTAAATCTGTGGTAATGTTTGTGTGCAGAAATAAAGAAATAAATAAGAGGTGTCACACAACAAGATATATATGACACGGTGTCTAGTCATCTTGGTAGTTCTACCTTCTTGGCAAAGGAGGAAGAGTTTTGTCAAATTTAACAAGAAAGCAGAGGAGTGACTTGCTTAAAGATTTAGGGTTTGAGCCAAGGCCAGAGTTTATATTTCCTAATCTTTATATGAGAACTTCTTTCACTTGGACATTGCACTCTTTACTGTGTACACAGGATCCCACCTTTGTTTTCCATTGCTTTGTGTTTCAATGCATTATGTTTCCTGTCACATCATGTTATCTAGGGCAAATGCCAACCTTCACTTCCTACTTTGCATTCATTAAAATTAATCCTTTTTTGTATAAAACCTGAATATTATGCCTAATTCAAAGCTTCTGTCCTCACCCAACACAGGCTGGACTTCACTGAGATAAATCGAATGAGAAGATAATAGGACCTGCTTAGCCCTCCTTCCTTCTTTCCTCTTCCTGGCTTTGGGTCATTGTGATGGGGACAGATTGAAAATGTGTAACAAAACAAGGAAGACCTTCCTGACTGTTGTGATTCCTTTTGTGTTATTTTTATTTTGATTCTCTAGCTAATAACAACTTTCCTTTGTTGGGGTGGAGGGCCAGAAAGCAGAGTGGTGAAAAGTGGCTTTGGAAGATCTCCACCCAGTCCTCCCACTGCAGAATTTCCTGGTGAAGCCTTGCAGGTCTTTGACTGTTCCCCATAGGACTTCTTCCCCTGCATTTTTGCTTCACAGTGCCATGTGGGCCACCGTTTCTCTGGTATGTCATCTTGTATGGCTTCTCAGGGCCTGTGTTTCTGCAGCACCCAAGGGAAACTCACATATTCTTGGAGTACTCACCCTTGAGACTAAAGTTAGGTATCTGTGATTTCTGCCTTCGGTTTGTCCCTGCACTCTCTGTTCAGTGCTCTTCTCCCTGTTGAGGTGGGCACAGGGCACAACTGGCAAGTCTGTTGCTTGTCATGCTGTCCCAAAGGCTATGTCTAGCCAGCCATGGCTTTCTGTAATCACTCATACCTGAGTGTCCTCTGTGTTGCTGTGTTGTCACTGCTTTGCTCCTCGCGATAACCACTGCATTCTGCCTAGCCTGGTACACTGACGACTCTCAGGAATCCTTTCCCTGTACCTCTCCCACTCTCTTCACATACATGAGGAAGGTGGCTGACAGAAGTAGGAGAAATCCCACCGCCTCTTGGCGCCATCTGATGTCAATTATTGGTTGCTTCCCTTAGAATGCAGAGTATACAGTGGTACTTACAACCAGTTGAGTGCCTCAACCCTCAAGTGGTGAATGAAAGAGAAAGTTCCACTAGTGATTTATGACACTATCCTGAAATATTCACTTGTATCTCAACTTATGGAAAAAGAAAAGAGGAGAAGTGGCTTATCAAAGTATCATCTCAGAATCTGGAATTAAACAGATAACTTCATTTATAATTCCTTTTGCTTCTAACATAATTAATAAGATAGTATCTGAGAAAATTAATATACTTATAGAAGGATCCATATTTCATTATCATCTATAAGTTATATATTATCTAAGATCTTTGGAAATTCATTTCTATGTATGTATTTGAATAAACAATAAAATTTGGGGATCACAGAAGAGCAGCCTTAATGAGATAAAGAGGCAATCGTGTTAGTGTATCTCATTTTGAAGTTTCTCCATCTTATTGAAAAATTATGACTTGATAATATCATTAGAAACTTTAATATTTAGGGGGAAAACAAATGAAGTGATTTGCTGTATAGCAATAATTCCCAAATTATGAATAAATACAGATACAGTTGCCCCCAGACATTTACTAGGTCTCTATTCAAAAATGACAAATTTCTAAGTTGTTGGCCAAGGTGTATGAAGAGGAAAAAATCTGTGGGTATTACAAGGTGGGTCCTCAGGGATTTAGCTCAGTGGTTTCGTCACCTGCTGCACAAGCATAAGGACCTGAGTTCAATCCCTGACACCAAAAAAAAAAAAAAAACAAGGTGGGTCTAGATTGATTGTGAAATGTGAAACCTAACTGAAAATTAGGAGTCTGCAGGAACTGCGCCATAAGCTGAAATCAGGCTACATTCCCAGGGATGTCAGAGGGGCGGGCAAAAGGTCAAGAGCTCTGATAAAATATGAAATACCCTGAAGGAAAGAATTATGGCCCAAGATGGGATATAAATCACAACCCCTTCCTGGTTGGGAGGCAGCATGTGGTGAAAGTGGAGGGGAAGTACATCATTATTACTTTTCATTTATTGAGTGCTATGCTGACATCAAACTGGATTATATTGAGCAGGATAGATAAAACACTGCTGTAGTCCAGTGTGCTAACAGATTGAGTTACACAGACCAGGCACAAGGAGGGGAAGAAGATGTAATGCAAAACTAACACATAGGATGACATTTTTCCTGTAATTTTTAGAGTTTGTTTTTCATGAAACAAATCTCCAAGTGTTGGCTTTCTACTGTGTGTCCAACACTATACTAGGCATGGGGGAAACAGGTGTAATATGCCTTGGTTTGCACACTGTTTAGAAAAGGATGTGATTAACAATAATTAAACACTGTACAGTGACAGTAGCACTCATCCATTGCTCTGTTATTGATTAGACTCACTGTTTGGGGACAGCAGGATTTACTCTACTGACAGAAGTTTGCCCCCTGTCCTCCTCCAATCATAGTTTCTGTATCTCACCCAGATTGCTTTGCTTGAAGCCCATGGCTGACTTGGGTCCTCACCAGACTTTTCTCAATGAAGCCCAGGAAAAGGCTCATCCTCTCCAGGTAGGAAAACTAGGGTTGCTAAAATTGAACATTCCCTAGTGTGCTGTGTCCCTGGTGATAGAATGAAGATTTTAAAATAAATACAAATTTAAAAGAAATAACAAGAAAAAGAGTGAGCAGTGGAAGGTGAGGTCCAACAAGGTGGAAAGTATGAGGACAACTAGGTGAAAGAGAGCTTTCTCCCAGTCCTTACCAAGTAGGGAACGTGGTAAGTATGACCAAATGAAAGACTTAGATGAGAAATTCAATATTTAAAATGCATTTCAAAGGAAAATGGTAGAAGAAATCATATTGATATTTTAGAGTCTATAGAAAGCTTAGATTAACAGAAGTTAGGCAACTGTTTTCCTTAGATTTTGGCTGTTAGCTTTTGAAGTTCAGAATATTTAGAAAGTTCTTTATTTCTAAATTTCTATTTCTCAGTTTTAAACTCATTTTTGAAGTCAGCAATTGTGGTTTTATATAAAATACACCATTGAAAACCAGAAAATAACATTTTAAATAGACTGCCCTTTGAAATATCACCTTGTCGTGGGCATTACCAGTTAATACTTTATTTCAATAAGAACAGACATTGGCCTATTTTGTTGTCAAGCTCATGTTTTACCAGATGCAAAAAATGTCAACAGCAGAATGAAATGTTGTTTGGAAATTCTAGTGAAAAACTTTTTTTACAAAATAAAAAAAAGAAACTGAAATAGCAAATTGTTTTTTAAATTGTTTATTTAAAAAACGATGACAGTGTTAAAACTCTGATAAGAGCCAATTTCATAAGAATATTGAGATTAACTTTATATTAATAAATCCTTGTGCCTTTATTCAATCTTTGGTGAGCATTTTGCCACCATTTAGCAGACACCAAAGCTAGGAGAAAAAACAATGTTTTTATGTGAAACTGGGGTTCAAGATTTACCAATAGGTGGAGATCCAACTTTTTGTTGAAAGGGCCAGATAGCAAATATCTACTGTTCATAGTCTGGCCCCTGTCAGAGTGTTACAGGTACCAGACTGGGCCATAGTAATAAACAAGCAGTGTGGTCCAGTATGTAAGCAAAGGTTTGTATTTACAGAGGCAGACTGTATTTACAAGACTGTATTTACAGAAGCAGAAGGGTTGGGCTTGACTTACAGCTGTAGTCTGATGCTGTAGTCCTTTATAATTTGATGTTTCCCTGTTCTCTTTCAAATGGTGATTAGTAGCAAAACCACATAGCTATCAAAGTGAGGTAATAGGGGAAAGGACTGCATCACAGAGAGTTGCGTAACTGTGCAAGTGTCCTGAACCATAAGGGAGACTGACACAACTCTCGACAGCACTCAGTTACAACATAACTCCCTGCATGGCTCTGAGTCAAGATGCACCTGCACTCTGCCAATCCACAGTTTCTTCTGAAATAAGCAAACCAGCCTTGAGAACCTTGGTCACGAGACAGCAGCCACATCCACTTTCTGTCTTCTCTCTTTCCATTGCACTTTCCTACCTTCCAGTGTCGGCTACCCTCTAAAAGCAATGCAATGATTGAGTCAAACTTCACATCTCTAAATTTTTATATCTGGTGTTTAGGCCCTCTACTAATTTGATTATGAAGTATATGGGTTTAAGTCATATTTACTGGCTTGTATTTTGTATGAAAGAAGGATGAATTCAAATATAAGCAGGAAATAAGGAAACAGTATAAACAAAGGCCTTTCAGGAACTGCTAGGTAAAATTGTAGATTTAGGACCTTGAAAATAGTTCTCCTTTTAAGTGAGACTTGACAGTGACAAATTCACTTAATTGAGGGATTATCTGAGATTTAAAAAATGAATGGTTGCATAAGTTTAAATATTGCATGGTTTCTCTTATGTGAGAAGCCCTAACTATAAACAAGCTAAGGAGCAAAACTCAAATCACAGAATAGGAAGTAGGAAGAAAGAGCTTTAGCAAATGGGAACAGGACCAAGAAATGGCAGGAAGGGAGAGGAAAGTGAGAAGAAGAACACATAAAAAGAAGATGTGCTGTGTATATGGACCAACTCCTCACAATGAATGTAATTATTATGTACTGCCAACATACACTAACAAGAAGAAAAAAGAAAGGATAGAAATAACTTCATAATTTTAAAAATGTTAATGAGAATGACTAATACATTTAGTTAGTATAGTCAGTTGGACAGTGTTCATTTGTTCTTTTGATAGAAGTACAGACATTTTGCTGAAAAAATATTTATTATATATTTAAACCTGAGGGTGACTATAGTAATAACTACCCCAAA